TTTCATAGACTTCCATCATGTTGGTCATTACTCTTAAGACGGCTACTCTCAGACCACAAACAAAAACACATTTGGACAAACACAGTAGGAACCAGTTACAAAATGTTTGAGAATGCTATACACACTTCTCCTACAGCAATTATATAGCGTACATGCCCATCCCTTAGCAAATAAATTCTAATATTGTATGTCTAAAAGAGTTGCAATGAGATGAAATTCACAACAGTTTAGGGTACATACATAAAGTGATAGTAGTTCTTCAATACACCAATCAAAACCTTGTGATAAATGTACTTGAAACTGATTTAAAAAAAAAAAATCTTATTAAAACCCAAATAATAACGATAATGATAGTCGCATGTCGATATCATGAGGACCATGGCGTTGATGATAATGAGGACGAGGACAAGGATGATGATAATAATTATAACGACAACGACAACAACAACAAAGTAATAAGTTTAATGATAACATAATGGTGCAAATGTACAAGTTGAAGCATTCTCATGAAATTTGTTTAGACATTCCTAAAGGAATATGAGCATGCGCACGACCATTCACAATTGTTAGCATCTTTAAAAAAACAAAATGCGACATTAATATATTTATCATCACATGATTTAAGTTTCACATCAATCAAACTAGGGACAAAGTTACAGCAAATCTTGCGTTCAAAAATTACATACATACACATGGATGCATGACAGTTATTTGCACACCTCTATGTAACACAAGTGATATTAAAGAAATAATATTGTTGAAAATGCACACATGCATACATGCATGATACAAATGCACATACACACACATACAAGGCTCCATTATTCCTAGGAGTTGTATGGTAAATCTATAAAGACTACATTGATTCCTTTTTATGCAGTTTTAGTTTCAAAATGCGATCTTAAAGTACTCTCTCCCACACACTAGTAGCCTTGATTTGGATTCGGCGAAAATTTGTAACCAAGCATGTCATAAAATCAGTGCTTTTACAAATATAGATATAAAAGTCATATACTGAAGTATCTATTATAAGGATTAATAGACACTTCAATATATGATATAACCAATGAGTAATTATTGTACCATCACCATCATCTTCATAACCAGCATTTTTTCGCTCTCTTTCGCTCTCGGTCTCTCTCTCCCCCTCTCCAACTCTCTCTCCCTCTCACTGATCCTCACAGACACAATGACTATGCACATGCACACATACATTCATATAAGCTCACAAGTGTGTACACACACAAATAGCCGACACCCTCTCCCTTAAGTGCAAGAACAGTGCTCACAAATAAAATTTTACACAGAAGAGACTAGTGACAAAAATGTCAACTACATCATTAAGACACATCATGGTCCTTTGTTCCACTGCGTAAGGACTTATGTCCTCACCAGCATTTGTTTGTTCTTTTTTTTTTGCTACAAAGGAACTACTGAAGAAAACCAAAACACATTTGGAGCTCTAAAATATTTGCAGAAACAGCAAAGCCTGTTGCATTCACCTTTAATCTAATTTCTACAGTAACCACTGAGGCTTTTATAGTTATTGGTAAAGAAGTGAAACATTTCTTTAATGATCTCTACAGTATTTTGTCATCCTGGCAAGTACTTCTGTTTTTGTATCATCTTGACAGTTCATCATGCAAGTCTATGAGAAACAGTCCCTTAAATCAGAGAAAATTCTTGATGGTCAGTATCAATCTTCATCTACGTCCTCAGCTGCCAGTGATGAGATCAGCTCCCGTCAAAAACTTGCTGAGTCTATTCCCCTAAACGACACCAAAGACCATAACTTTGTCAAAGAGCATTAACTTAAGGAATTCAAACTTAAGAAAGGTGGAAGGGAAAGGGGGAGAGGATCAATAATAAATATAAAAACAAAGTGAGATAAAATAGAAAATAACGATCTGACGCTGAAATAAGAGAGCACATCAAGTGCAATGTTAAGGTCGATATAAAGAGACAGTAGGAATGCAAAATAATTCATGTAGGCCTACCTAATTTATTATACAATCAAGCAATGATACAGTCATCTCCACCTAAGAGCACACTGTGAAACTCCAAGAAAGTCTAATAATCCATTTTTACCCTGTGAAAAAATTTTCTCACCAAAAAAAGTACACAAATCAACCTTATCTAGAATAAAGAAGGAAGTTCATAAACACTCACACGTGTAAAAAAGCACGTCAAAATCAATCTGCATTTTTCAAAAACAGAAATGTTATTGATTTAAAAAATCGAACTGGCTCTAGTTGTCACATTTTGTCAAGACACTAGTGTAAACCGCCGACTGCTTTCCCCCCCCCCCCTTTTCCCTTTTTTATGTAATCTTCCCAAAAGCACAACAAAAGGGTTGTCATTGACGGAGGGACAGTACCTTTCAGTAGGAAGCAAATCGGAAACACTTGCTCACAATTGCACCCTCAAACACACACACACACATACACAAACACAAACACACACACACACACACAGACACATACACACACAATACAATTCAGTATACCTTTAGATGTGGGAATCATCCCCATGCTAGACGCAGTCTTTGAAAACAGCCTAAAACCCAATTGTCTTTTTAAAAAAAACCCTAGTTGTTTTTTTTTAGCCTGACAGACATCGGGTTCTTAGGCAAAGATCACTGTATCTACAAAATAGTAATGAAAACTATGAAAGGCATATAACTTAAGCTGGAACAAGCTGATGAGACACATTTACAAAAATTGAAAATAAAAAGATATTTGGGATCTATATGAGTACTAGAATATGTGCAACAAGCATTTACAATTTTGAAAGTTACAACAGTCAGCTATAAATAAAAGTTAGCAAAACAGTACAAATGAGGAGACATAGGTACATGTGAGCACTTCATATCAAAGGTGTTGGGCGTAAACTTGCCAGGCCAGAGACGAGAAAGAGAATTTCTGATATCTACGCACGGAGTATAATGCTCTACATCATGCCTAGATGAAATATTACACTGCAAGTAAATTAAACATTCTTTTTTTTAAAAAAAAGACCCTAATAGTAATACTCCATCACATTACTGACGCAACGAGACAGGGAAGGACGTTTTTTTTAACCCAATAACTTGTCTTTAATTTTCTGATAAGTGACCTACACTATTAATATTTATTTCCATTTCTTGCACTATGCTACTCTGACTCTTTGTGAAAAAAAAAGCAAAAAAGCTACATGATAGAATCTCTTTTTTTGGCAAGCTCACATATCCAGTATCTGACCGGCATTCAAACATAGGATGTTAGTGTCTCCATCATCTAAAACTAATATGGTACAAATCATGATCTATTTATGTGCATCACAAGAGAACCACAATACACACACATGTTAACAAAGCATGTTGACATCCTTCCAGTACTTTTTATCCTTTGACGTACAAAAACTGTTATTTTCCATTTGAAAGTGATGGCAATTCCCAAACAAACAAAAAGAGAGGGTGTGAATATCAGTGGTTTCAAAAGGGGAAAAGTAAATCTTTGTGCAACCACAGCATATTTAACTCCCCCCCAAAAATGTCTATTCAATAGACAGCAAAGGGTGAACTTATTTTTACACCACGTCCACTAGAACCTGTTTGGCATTCTTTTAACTTTTCAATCCAGAAATAATGTCTCAAGCAAGGAAATGTCTAAAGCACATTTTACTTTGAGTCAATTAAAATCACTATCAATTTTTCAAGAATACATCTGTGTAGCCCATAAAATTAAAATTGTGATACCTGTCACAATTTGATTCTAGATCTGATATGAGCTGGGTCAAAACCCTTACTAAGATTTTCTCTTGAAAAAAAAAGTTCAAGTTCAAGTATACGCTTATCAAAGTTTTAAAAATGATTTTGAAATCATTTTTACAAAGGCCCTGCCTCAAATGCTTTACAAATGACCAGAATCATCACAATCATAACATACAAAGTAAAAGCTTAAAAGAAAAAAAAAATTCTATGAGAAAAATTTCTGAATAAAACATTTCAAATTGTCAACAGGAGCACAGTACTTTTGTTGAACCCAAGTCATTATATTCCATAAGATTGCACATAAAATTGCACGTTCTCCCTGTCTTGAAGTTATCGTTTACAACAGCTGCTGCAGCAAACCAGACATCTGGATAAATTTGAGACTTTAAAAACTTGTGTTGGGATGCTTTTGCCCTGTCCATAAATTCTGAGTCTTATAAAATTAAAAACCTCAACTCAAGATTCATCCACCACATCCTAAAAAGTATAAAGTACTGTTTGATATCTCCAGATTGTAACAAAAACATACATTTGTAATAAATAACAAAATCTTATATCACATACAAGTTTGCTAAAGTCGAAGCAATCAGAGGGAACAGCTAGTGCATTTCCCATGCATGCACTTAAGTTCCAATCAGTTAAGATTCTTCAAGAACTTGTTCTACGAGTCTTGCTTCCAATTATGACTCTTTAAAAAAAATCATTATGCTATTATATAGACCTACAAAAGTGTGACATTGTATGCTGGAATTTCTCCAGCTTGATCATGTGATCTTTACAAATATTTCAAAATGAGCACCTACAAATGACACTGAAATAAAAAGTATATACCACTGTTGAGCATGGTATATGGAATACATATTCTATGCTCATGTGCCTTATTCACATCATTCATTGCGACATTCTGCCATAGACGCAAAGCAAACAACAGTTATGAAACTAAGCTTCACACTTCCGTCTATGCAACATTCACTCAACAACTATATAAAGAGACAAAATTTTCCAACTTTGCGGTCTTAAATCACATTGAGTCAGACAAAGAGTGTCCACTGTCTGAGACCAATTAAGCTTGTGTAAAAACAGCATCCTTTCTGAACACAATCAAATATCTTTCATTTTCCAAATCTCACCCACATGCGTGGAGGCTTCATCACAGTGCTTCAATTGACGAACGTGATTTCTGTGACTTGTTATCCTTCATCCTTGTCAGTTTATATAGTAGGAAAAATAGACCGCTTATACAGCTTGTTCAGTATAGGCCACAGCCGCGTAGGTTGGTAGCAATGATGACATCTGTTACCGCATCAAATACAAACTGAATGTTATTAGTGTCCGTGGCGCAAGTTTGATGACAGTAGACTTCCTTCGCTGAACATTTGTTTTTGAATTCGAATTTTGCCTGAATGTATGCTGAGGCCTCTAGATAAAATTGTTTTCCTGTGAAAGAAACCAAAAGAAAAACATTTTAGGAAATGACATAATGATCACATACCCTCCTTAAGAAATTTAAGTGACAGGCAATTTTTTTAAAAAGATAACGAAGTAAGTCTATACAAAAACCAAAATAGGCCTAAAAAAAATAGAAAACAAGCTTTTTCCCACACTTCATCAGTATTTTTGGAGGTCTTGACAGTACTTTTAAAAAGTTAATTCCAAAGGGAAATTTCTCTAGAATAAATACATGTATGTTGCATAAAAGAGTACAAAAATGCTGACACTGAATAGGTGCAAGATGATTTTACAGGGTGATCCAAAAAAAAACTTTACAACTTGTTTTGTCAATATCTTCCTCCATACTGAAGTTTTGCGTTTCAGATTTGAACATAACGTTTGGAAGCCAAAAGGAATTTGTCTGATATGTGAGGCAGCGTGGTGGAATCAGGCTCTCGTCAAAATAATGAAATCGAAGAAAACAGCAGTTTTCTCCCTGCTTAGCAATTTTTATCAAATTTTCGTTTTTTGGCTCAACACTTTTTAGGTCCTTTTACAAACACATTCCTTTGAGGATTTCACCAAAAACGTTGCTTTAAGGCACAACTAAAATATAATTTTACAGTTTCCATAGACTCTCCAGCTTGGGGGGAATTTACGAAGCTTTGGCGGCCATTTTCTCGTCAATTTTACCTCTTAAATCAGGTGACCCCCACCTCCTTCAATCCAAAATATCTCCACTTCTATTGAAGATGGATGGGTAATTTTTTCATTGAAAGCAAGACAAATGAACAAGCTTTAAGATGATACCAATTACTCTACATGCCCAAAAATTGACGAGAGCCTGATTCCACCACGCTGCCTCATATATGTGTTTTAGATAAGTCCATTGAATGGTTTTGCTTTATACTGCACATTAAAAAAGACAACCCATTTTCAACCTTGTCGCCATTTTCATAGCATGGCGCACCAGTTCACATTAGGCCTACCACTAAAAGTTGCGACAATCGCGCCATATTGCAAAACTACAGCAGTGTAACAAGTCAACAGAAGTCTGCAGATATTATTTTTCCTAAATTTTGTTTACCTGCGGAGATCATGGCTACGTTTAGTAAAGAGCAGAAAGCTTTTTTGTATTGAGCATTACTTCTCCACAAACTCACCATCCCTGTCTGACATTTCGTAAGTTTTGCGCACGACATGGAGAGAATGCTTAGGTGCCCTCAAGACCTTTGGTGTCATGAGTAGAGAAGTTCCGTCAGTTTGGATCTATAGCGAATCAGAACTAAAAAGTTCTTTTAAAAATGACCACTTCAGGTCAAACACACACCATGCGCAGCCCTTTAAACATCACCAGAGTGCAGATTTCAGTAGCCGAGTCCATAGAGACGTCTGTCCGTAGACGATCTGCAGCTAGGACTTTCCTACACATCAACAGTCTGCATTCTCATGCAGATCTTAACCTACGACTATACCATGTTCATCTTCGCTAGGCCGAGCTGACATGGTTCAGAGCATGGCAATGTGTTCATGATTCGTCGATTGTGTTGTAAAGAGGGATCATTTCCTCGATGAGATTAGGTTTAGTGCAAAGCCCATTTTCACCCTGCGGGATATGTTAACTCTAAAAATGCTGTCTATTGGGCACCCCACTCTATTGTCTCTAGAAGCTACTTCTTAGTGAACATGTACAGTGTATGTGGCTTTAAAAACTCATGGTTTAGCAGGTCCTTGTGTTAACGCGTCACTGAACATTTTTAACGACGCATCCAAAGGAGAGAATGTGAAGCACTGCTTCTAGGAATTTCAGAAAGAAATCATTAGGTTTTTAAAACTCTGTAAAAGAAATTAAATATTGTTTAAATGTCACAGGAATAGAAAATTAATGTCAAAGAGAAAATAAAGAAAAAGGTCAACTAATCTTTTCACGACTACCTTTACAAGATTTTTAAACATTGGTGAACTTTGCGTTTTTGGGTGCTTTTTTCTTTTAGCCGTTTCCGTTTTCAAAACAAGTTTCTTCTTCATGGAATTTATATCAAACAAATTCCTTTTGAATGAATTATGTCTGTTCCAAATTTCAACATTCTGGAACAATTTTTGCGCGAGATATTCAGAAAAAAAGTTGTTAAGTTTTTTTTGGATCACCCTGTATATAACAAGAGTGCATGTGCACTTTTGTAAACCATATTCTCTTGAACTAACGCCTCACATAAATTTGTATAGTACACATGAAGAAGGAAATTCGTAACTCTGAGAAAAAGACGCTAAGCTAAATACAGAAATAACAAATTGCATTTGATTCTACAATGGTCTTTTAAAAAAAAATCCAATAAAGAGTACTATGGAGGAGATCAAAAAGTGAGACAAGTTGTTTGCTATTTTGCACAATTTTGGATCAAATTTTAAGACATTCAGCTCACAAGTATTTGGACAACTACTTTTGAACTCAAACTGTTAAAATTCCATTTTCTTTAGCAAGGAGACAAGGTTGTTAAAAGCCATCAAATGCATCCACATCACACTTGTGAGAGATGAGCTGGGACACAGAATCCCTCTTTGAAATTTGCCGCTGCCAGGGATTTAACTATGGGAATAAATGTGTTACGACATGGTGGAATCTGGAGCCCTACCATTTTTGGGCATGTGGAGTTATTGGTGCCATCTGAAAGCCGATTTACTTGCCTTGCTTTTGATGAAATAGATAGCCATCTATCTTGAATAGAACTTGAGATATTTGCGGTTGAAGAAAGTGAGGTTGCCTGGTTTCAGTAGTGAAATTAGCGAGAAAATGGCAGCCAAAGTTTGGTAACTTCAATAGCTAAAGAGTCTTTGAAAACAGAAAAATGACATTTTTTGAGCCTTTAATCAATGTTTTTCAGTAAAATTCAAATGGCAATGTGTAATTATATGGACATAAAAGAGGTTGAGTAAAATTTGATACAAATTTCAAAACTGGCAGGAAAAAGCCTGTTTCTCCCATTTCTATATTTTGATAAGCACCTGATTTCACCATGCTGCCTGACAAAAATTTTTTTAAAAATCAAGCTGAAATCTTATTGGAATTTTCTAAATCCGCGTATCAAAATGCAAAGTTGCTTGTGTTGAGCCTGATTTGACGCAATATCTAAACTTAAACAAACATAATCTTATTTTTAATTGGTTGTAAATTTTGAACACCACAGCATGTATTCAAGGTCACTTTGTGCTTTGTGCTGAGCATCTGACGTCACAGCTTCTATACACTGCACAGTAACAGCAGGGGCTTTAGTTCCAAGGGCACATCACCCGCTGTGTTAAATAAACACTTGGTGTCAGCACGTTCCCAGAACCGGTACCGGAGGCCTGGTGCCAGTACTGACACTGCCTATGGTAGTACCAGGAGTTCCAGTACTGGGTACCTGTACCTACCCAGCCTTACTGTATTCAGATAGGTCAGACTTTTGAGCAATGAACCGGAAGAAGAGGAAGAAATGTTGTCAACGCGCTTGTCAGACACATTTTGACCCAGAAAACAACCTTGGAAAATGATGGTCATCATGCTTTGGGATGTTCAATGCGTGCTCCCAACAGGCTTTTTAAAACTATGAGGAGCAACTATCAATTCTCAAGCTTATACAGAAGCTCTGAAATGACTGAAAGTGAGAATTCGACAAGTCAGACCAAATTGAACATAAAAAGGGTGCTTTTTCACCACAACAATACCTGCCCCCATATGAGTGCAATAACAAGAGAGACAATCACCTCATTTAGAAGGAAAACATTGCTACCCCCAGGTTACACTTCTGATTTGGCATCTTCAGACTTTCACCTTTTTTGGTCCTATGAGCATTGAGGTGTCAACACTAAGAAAACGACTGAGAAATCATGGCTGCTGTGAAAAACTGGCTAAAAGACCAACCTGCTCAGTTCTACAAAGCTTGAATAAGTAGACTTACTAAAAGGTGAACAGTGGCTGTAGAAAGAGATGGAGACTATGTTGAGAAATAATGATCTCATCCTCAGATGTTCCTCTTCGATTTGATGTATGATGGTTATAGCTCCCGTAATTTTTCTTTGCACTACTTTTTGACTCCCCGTCATAATATCTGTTTTGAATGATTTTCCGTATTGTAGTTATCCTAAAGTTATTGAGGTTGAGTTAAAATTCCCAAGTTTTACTACATGTAACAGTTGGTGCCCTGCTTCTTTTATCAGAAAAGGTATAATTCTCTAACTGGCAAAAGAGAAGCCAACAGAAATTCTTCCTCACATTAAAATGATTACAAAATGCAGAAAGAAGGCGATGATGGAAAAGTTAAAAAAGAAACCGACCCATGTATTGGCTACTATTCAGGTCATTATATTGTTTATCACCATTAGCAATAGACACTTTGAAGCCAGAATGAAGTAAACAGTACAGAAGGCTTATATGACATAATATGAGTCACAACATGGTGGAATCAAGCATTTGTCAATTTTTGGGCATGAGGAGTTATTGATAATATCTTAAAGCGTGCTAATTTTTCTTGCTTTCGATGAAAAAATACCCATCTATCTTGAATAGAAGTTGAGATATTTGAGAGTAAAGGAGATGGGGGCTGCCCAGTTTCAGAAGTAAAACTAGGGAGAAAATGTTTGTCAAAAGTTTGGTGAATGCCACAGCTTGGGAGTCCTTGGAAACAGAAAGTTTATTTTTTTTTGTGCCTTTAATTAGTCAATGTTTTTCAGTGAAATTCCCCGCAAAAACGTGTTTTTAAATAACAAGTGTTGAGGCAAAAATTTTTTTTAAAATCTGATAATTGCAAAACCAGTGAAAAATTACGGGTTCCTTCAATTTCATTATTTTGACGAACGCCTGATTTCCCCATGCTGCCACATGTATACTAAAGTATCAAACTTGTACCTTTGAAATCAAGGATCACAGGCGTTACTTTCTAATAGTAAAGAAAGCACGCCTCTGACTAAAGAGCAAAGCATATATACCTGAAATGGTAGTGGGAGGGGAGCATTTATGATTGAGCCAATAAGGGAACAGACAACTGACCTGATCTGACTGTCTTCTATTTCATACCACTGGAGCCTGTTCTGAAGAAAATTTTCAAACATTTGACAGAGAAAAAATATCAAACATTATTTTGGTTTGGCATGCTGCCAGTAAGTTTCAAACAACAATCTTTACCTGTGTATTCAGGGAAACATATCGTTAATGGTGATTTCTTGATTTTCTCCTCAAAGAGATCTTTTTTGTTGAGAAACAGGATTATGGAGGTTTCTGTGAACCATTTGTTGTTGCAAATGGAATCAAACAGCTTCAAGCTCTCCTGCATTCGATTCTGAGAAGAACAAAACAAATGAATGAGAATTAGTTCCAAGACAGAATTATGACAAAATCTGAAAATAACATCAGGATTCTCCGGTATCAATGATTTATCATCAATCCAGCATGAAGCTGTGAAGCTAAAACAAAGACCTTTGCTTGTCATAAAGAGCAATTCTTCTGATGCTAAGCAAAAATATATGCACATGTATTAAAATAATGTACAGATAAACAATCATGTGTGAGTTCAGTCTGAAATTACTTATAGAACATTTTCTTTTATTTTCAGGACCTAGGTCTCTTTATTAAACATAATGTGTGCAGAGTGCTGATTTTTTCCTCATTTTCCGAGAAACATCGACCTCGATCCCATCTATTCAAGTACTAATCATTGGCAGATTGAGAGAACAACAAAAAAGAAAAAAATCCCAGCTAAGGAACTTACAAAATGACACTCTCAAAAGTAAGATTTGAGTTAAGGAAAATGCCTTTTTTTTTTTTTCATTACTGGTCTTTAGTAGACAGTTATTTCTTTTAGTCTTTTAAAATGAAGACTGAGTAGACATGGAAAGCAGATGAACAACAACAACAACAACAACAACAACAACAACAACAACAACAACAACAACAAGAAAAATAGGTTACTTTTATTTTGTACACATTCCATCTAGGAAGTAGGCTTTGTTTATAGTTTCATAGAGCAATTTAGAACCCATGTGAATAACTCCAGCCATAGTTTATACAGGCAAAGTGTTTTCAGATATAAAGTGTGAAGTTCATCTAAGAGCAAGAACAGATGGGAATGATGTAGTCTACTGTAGCGTGTTTCCTGTTACGAGGTGGTGGTGAAAATCAAAGCACCATCACTTAGGAACATAAGAGGCATAGGCCTGTTGCATGCTACAAACACATGAAAAACAAAAAGATCGTACTGTTGTTTCATCTTCATGTAAGACTTGGTCGTATTCACTCATAGCAACACAGAATATGATGGCTGTGACATCTTCAAAACAATGTATCCACTTCTTCCTTTCTGATCTCTGCCCACCAACATCAAACAGTCTGAAAATAGCAAAAGCATTGGTCAGTTACAGTTTTAAGTATAATCATAAATATCTGTGTTTTGCAACAAGTAGTATCACTATTTCACTGTCTATTTCATTCTTGCACCTCGCATGCAAACAACTTACGATTGTCTACTATCCAGTCGCCCACCTGGCCATTGGTGATCTTTCTCAGTCACCTCTAATGCCAGTTTCTTAAGGCAGAGGATCAATATAGTACATCTCATCTTTACAGAAAGTAGCGTGCATGAGCAATATATGAAAAGATTATACAAAATTCCCTCAATCTTCATGCTGTGCTGCATGCGTGTGAAGGAAATATTAAAATTGTACAGTAAAACCTGCTTTAGAGGTCACCTCTCCAAAGCGGTCACCTTTTACTAATGGTCAGTGTTCCATGACACCCTTGCATTTCAAAAAAAGCTTTTTAATCTGTCCATAGAGATCCATGTCTATGATTAATCATTTCTGTTTCAAACCAGTCTCACAACCTGCTTATAGTGGTCACTTGCTACAAAAGTTATCCACTAACAAATCAATGCAAAGCAACCCTTAATGATGTAAAATACTTATTTTGATGTCAATGAAAAGGAAAGACAAAATTAAATGACCATTTTAGAATCTAAACTATCCGTTGACTTTGCAAAGTCTAGTACGTGACCGTAGCACTCTGCCCATAGCGGCCACCTGTCACTGTTATTATTGATCCCGAGAACGTTGTTGTAGTTATCGATATTTTATCTGTGATCTTGAGCGACTGTTATGGACAGGTTCAACTATATTTCACCTGAAATATACACTAGTCAAATCTCCAGATATGGAAATATTACCCAAAATGTGATTTACTACTACTGCTAGTGTGTTTGGTACTGTTTAAGAGAGTACCTTCAAACCCTGCACTTCCCCCTTCCGGATTTTGCTCCTCTTCCCTAGAAGTTGAGGAAACTGTCCATTGAACCCTTTTAGTGTAGATAAAAGACAGTTAAACAATAGTCGCCATTCTTTTCAACCCTGCACACAAGCAGCTGCTGCTAAATGTATTAGGCTAAACCTTTTGCAAAGCCAGTGAGCATATTATCATGTTATGATGTGTAGTTTTTACGAGATAACGTTTTGAAATAAATATTACAAAGATCAAGATATTGATTTTCTTATTGAGGCTACAGCTAAAAGTCCCTATTCGGCTCAAAACCATGGATTTCAAGTTGTAGGCATTTTAAGCTTCTTCAGCCTCTCTTATAACTATTTCATCATGTAAGAACCCCCTAAAGCTGTATTTCTTCCCATACTGGGCATGTCTGTCACCACCATTTCCTCATAAAGCCAATCATTTATTTTTCTTTATCGCCCGTTTTCTCGAAACGTGGTTTTTCTATATACTTTTGTAAACAACTCCACCATTTTTCCTCCGATCTTCCTGAAATTTTCACATAATGAAGAAAAGATATAATACTAAAATTTGTGTGATGAAATTTTGATATATGGAATACTTTTTTGTTGGTGGTGTTTGGAGTGTGGACTTTCACAGATTTTTTGCAAACGTGAACACTACCTCAGGAAAAAATTCATTAAAAATGTTCTAGGACGTTTAGAAAAAATTCATCACACAGATTTGTAGATTTATGGTTTGCCAAGATGTACGCAAAAAAACAATTATTTCCATGAAAAATAAGTGTGGTATTAGTTACGTAAGATATGTCAACAAAATCCAATATGGCCGCTGTATCCATGTAAACGAATTTTTTTTTTTTCTCAAATTTGATTGCGGATTTTAAGACTCCTTACTATGCTTGTTATATGTGAATTTTGGTAACATTTGATCTACTAATAAGCGAGATAGCCTTCAGCTGTAGCCCCCCCGCCCCCCTCATTAACTGACACTTGGCACAACAAATACACAATATATTTTACTCACTTGAAATTTAAATTTTTAAACGAGAAGTGGACTTCAACGATGCCAGTGGTTTTCACTCTAGTTCTCAGGATGTCCTGTTCTGTAGGCATGTAATCTTTTGCACCTAAGCGATCTAATTCATCTAAAAAGCTGAAAAAGAGATAAAAAGCAAACATTAGAGGGTTTCATCATCAGTGAGATGTTCTTGTCAGTCATATATATGATTATAAGAAAAGTTGCCATAGAGACACTTGAAAGTACATTGCTGTTGTTTTTTTTGTGTTCATATTGCTGCTATAGGTTTTGTTGCTGTTGTTTATGTTATTGACAATGTAATGGTGATTGCAATGGGCTGTGCCCTTCCTCCTAGTGTCAAAATGTGCCGTCTGTCACTTCTCTTCAGGTCATGTCTTGGTTTGGGAGAGGGGGGTGTAGTTTTGACATCATGTAGCAAACGGCAGTAGAAGAGAGAGCTACGGAACAACACACTTTCACCAACTTAAAAAAAAAAGAAAGTAATGCTGTTTAACCTAAAGTCCCTTATAGCTTTTTAGCTAGCATAATTCTTCATTGGCTGGTGAAATTTGAGCATTCTATCTTGATTGATTATGGAGAAGTAGCAATTTTAAAAAATAAAAGAATTTCTATTCTCCCGACTCCTTGACCCATTAAGCTCCTGTGAAGTAAAATCATGAGCATGGCATTGAATTTTCATAGCAAATTATGACAATTTTGTCTTGAATGTCTCAGGGGAAAGTAAGACTTCCTAAAAGAAAACACCTAGAACCTTAAAAGAACATAAATATTATAGGCACACTCACTATTTGGCAGAGTCGTTGAGCTGGTACTCATTTGCCCGACCAAAGCTCTCTTGTACACCTGAGTCCACCCACAGTCTTTTCATGGCAGCGAGCAGCTCCTCAGAGAAAGGCTCTGTGTCTTCCATCCTTGCTATAACATCTAACACCATCTTGGCATCAGACTGAAAAACAGTGATTGAATATTCAAATTAGCGCACACTTCATATACACCAAAAGTTCATGAAAGGGACACACACATTGCTAGAAGTTGGTGAAACGGTGACAGATGGATAGGGGAAAATACAAAGACAGGCAAATGACAGATGGCTCAAAAGAGACCCATTACAAGGAGACGAAACGAAAGCTACACAGGCAGATTTTCTGATGAAAAAAGTGGATGGAAAGACTGACTAGTAAATAGACAGACATAATTTTTCTTTATACATAAAACGTTTGCTTTAACATCCACTGGACTTCTGTCTTTAACAAAAAGCACCACCAATCAGACCAAACACTACTCCATTTCTGCTTCTTCTTCCTTCCCTTTTTTGTGTAGCCTTAGTAATAATTTTACGGAACTTGCGATGCAATAACATCATATGAGTGCCAAAGATTAGAGGTGTTACAAATAAGAAACAAACGTAAAAAAAGGAGGAGAGCAAGGATGATAGATGTTTGATAAGGCAGAAGGAGCAAACCACACCAGAGCACCTGCTAAACACCCACCTTCCTTCCCTTACCCTCCTCCATCACCCCATCATCATCATCATCATCATCATCATCATCATCATCATCATCATCATCATCATCATCATCATCACCATTATTATTAATGTGTTCATCCAAGCATGCTTTTGAACTTATCTGGTTTAATTTTATATGGTACTATTCATTTCCCATTAAATCATAATCATGTGTAAAGCACCTGAATCTATATAATTAAATTGACATCTCACAGCCATGTCAAACAATCAAACGTTCAGCCTCCTACTGCCTTTACAACTGATGAGAAGAATGTGGTTCCGACACCAATTCTTGCAATTCGGAGCCCACTTCTTCTTCACCTTCGTCCCATCTAAGCTGGCTTGCCCCATTTTCAAAAGACAACAGCCAAACCGAAAACAGCCTCAATAACAATGAAGCCCCCCAATCATTTAATATGTTCTAAGGCATGCATGAAGCAACATGAATGAAAAGGAAACAAGCCCTAATCATTGAGTATGTTGCGCTTATAGAAAAAAAAGAATAGAACGAACCCACGCTCAACCTCCCCTCCCCTCCCCCCTTTCCACCTGAATCCATATAATACAGACCAGCCAACAGAAACAGAGGTAAAGATGAAGATATCATTACTATTTAATTTTATCTCTTGGTAAACAATGAACGAGGTGGCGGTGATGGTGGTGATGGTGGTGATGGTGGGAGGAGAGGTGCGTACACTCCTCTCCGCACCCTCCA